TAAGGACAAGATATGCATACAGACAAAAGTACCTGCGCTAATGTCTTTTGAGATAGAAGTTTTGTTTATGAGTAAGTTTATTAGAGCGTGTTCCTAAGTACTTTCTGTATCCGATACCTTTAATCTCTTATAATTAGGTACTGTGCAACACCCTGCCAGCGTCATAAAAGCGTTCTTTTACAATCTGTCGCGCCTTCTCATCAATATCTGCGTCCTTTCGAACCATTTTTCAATCTTTCGATGTCACCAGTCGCACCATGCACATCAGGGGTTGCGCTCTTCCAACACCCTCGGCGCCCATATTGCAAACTAAATAAATGCTTCCTAGTGCTGGTTGTCTACATAAAACACCAATTCAAAAAATATAACTTATCTCTTCGCTTAAACACGAAAGCAAAATGAACACGCTAATTTTTCTTAAGCCATTTCTTGACGTTTACGTGAGATAGCAGCCATCAAAAGCACTTTTGCTGCCACAACTTGCACCTCAACTAAGATGGCTTCGAAGAGGTCAACTAAGACAAACATGACCAACGAAGTTTAGATTCCTTTTTGTGAGCACAAAACGATATCCTTAGGTCGATAAGAAGACTCACTAAAGTGAATTAAAGTGACGTATTACGTTTATGTCAATCAAGAGAAAAATCTCTGACGACCAAACAATCGGCTACAATTCTTGCCAACAAGAACAAGTTGAGCCCAGTGGAAAAGCGGCAGAGAACCGCGGAGTATCAACTGATGGAGATAGCTTTGTACCAATGTTCCTCACGTACCAGGTGCAAGTCGATGTGTCAGGTGGCCTCACTCAAAAGAAGGCTGTATACTTCCTTGCTGAGCTCTTGTCCCACGACGGGGCTTTAAAGTTTTCTAGTGGGTAAATTGATCCTTATAGGAATTGCCATGGCCTAAAGTACTGCAACTACTTTTGAAAATCTAGTTCTGTCAACATATTTGTAGCTTAAGATATATAGCTGCAGATTTGATTGACTCTCGATCGGTCTATTCCACGTATCAGTAAAACATGAATAGAACTGAATACATTTTTTAAATCCAGAAAATTTCACCATGACGTGCCCACTTCCAAATCATCCACTTAATTTCACTAAAAATGTGACATCTCGAAAAGCGGACGGTTGATTGTCCACAGAGCAGCTCGAAGGACGCGAACAGAACAAGAAGCGTCTCACTTTGATGTGTAAAGCAAATATAATAGGTTCGAAAATTTATCTCTTCTGTCACGATAAAATCCTCGCTAAACCAACAATGTCAACCAAGACACTTTGGACAGATGCAGTGTGGTGACGCGAAATGTTTAAAATGATGAACTTGACGGTCGATAAGCCGGATGGACTTGAGACCTCGCGGCCGGGAAAGGGAGCAGAGACCTGGAGGACAAAAGGAAAGAGTGGCCATTGGGTCCAACCGTGTCGAGAGGTTAAGGTTGCCACTAACGTGGTCAAACCAACCGAAGTAACCAATTAAACGGTACCTATATGGATCGTTCTAAACCACTCGTCGGTCGGCCTAATCGCCCAAGGTCAGGTCGCTCCTGGCCATTCATCTGTCGTCCTGACCACCCATCGGTCGACTTGGCCTCTCAAGGTCTGGAGGCTCCTGGACACTCAGCATTGCAAACCCAGGCGCAAGGTAAACATAGATAAAAGAAACTTAAAGGATAGGATAGCTTTAAATACTACTCCCTTTGCGATCTAAGTAGCACGACGTGTCGTGCGCGAAAAAGCTTGAAGTCTACCGACCTCTTTCGGGCCAGGGATCTTTTTGGCCCATCTGTCGAAGAGACAGTTGTGAGCAAGACGCAAGCGTTAGTAGAACCCCAGGAAGTACATTGGCCTGTGGGTTCGTAGAGTAGCACTCCCCCCCAGCTCAAGGCAGCTATAGGAGGCAGTCTCCATACCCTAGTGATAAGGAATAAGAAACGCAAAGACCAGGCGGTAAACACCCCTAACACAAGTAAAGTCTAGGCGCTACCAGCATTTGAGACAAACGGTTGCAAGACCACTCTCGACCAAGTCGATCGAGTGGCCGCCTACATTGGCCCTTGACTGAAGCATATTTTCTCGCCCCCCAGGTTAACCTCCATAAAGGCCAACGTCCACAAACATTACCAAGTCCTCCGAGGAGTAAATTGGCCTAGCGACGGTTACACAAGGCGACTTAAGGTTCACAAGCGGCATCAGGGGGACCCCTTCCGACAGTCGACATTCTTGCTCAGTGAGTGGTTAAGGGTCTCGTTTACCAGTTCTGGCAACCCACTCCACCACATATTTCGTAGCAGCCTGAAAAATTGGGTGACACAGGTCATCGTTGTCGAGTGGCTGAGATGAAAACCTTGGTTCCAGAAAACAGGGAACAAGGTTTTGATTGTCTTTTTGGTGATAAACAACTAAAACGCACATATTCTGCTTGTGCAGCTCGCATCTCTTTGTACGCTTTACAACACGAACATGTTTAATCCGTCACAGAAACCGACATTGAATAATCAGCCTCACAACGCAGTAACTATCCGAAGTCCCAATACCGACTAACCACACTATTATAATCGCCTCCTCATTCAGCACACTATGTTTAAGATATCAGACTGTAAGAAGATTAACGTGCTTGGGTCTATGCATGTTGCTGTTGTAGCCTGGAACATAGATGCGAAGCCATATTCAATTTGAAACTGCATTTGCCATTGACAAAATTTGCAATACAGATGCTGAAGTTACACTTGTTTGAGTAGAGTCTCTTGTTGACCCTTAAGTGATGTACAAAATCGAAGATCAGGTTCAGTGTTTGTCGACGACCCCCTAATACATAATTTCAATCTCATAAACTATCCTGCTGAGCGCAAAGTTGCCTATGTTCCGACAAAAGCGAAAATTGTCCATAAATTCTCTCCGAATGCAAAAAGATTAAGTGAAGGCCGACGACTGTCAAGAATTTATTCCTTTAAAAGCAGATGAGGCACTACATCATTTCAATTTGTTGTAGCCGTTCCGGGTGCAGCAATATATTTTTCGACCATGAGATGCCTGCCACCATCGAGACAGCCAAGGACGATATCAGAATTAAAAGGGTAGCAAGCTCATTGTGAATCCAATCTCAGATTATTCCTTCACCGTTAGTCGGCCAATCGTAGTGATTTTGAATAACATTAAGTAGTCTCAGTGAATCATCAATTACGATTTATTCCGGTTCCGTCTGTGAAGTATTTATTATCAACTTTTGTAGAATTACTATATAATTGAATGGGACCCTGTGGTGGAGTGGCGATCGCTCATTTCCTGAGACGATCCCGACTCTCCATTGGCGCCCGGACGACCGATTAACGGAGGGAGTACCCCGATTCCGTGTTTTGTGTGTTCTTGCCCACCTTGACTACCCGTCGGTGGGCAAGTTGCGCTCTTCTTGGTGGACTTGAACTGAAGCTGAACTTGACCGTCTGAGGGATAGGCGTTGATCGGGTGGAAATACTACACCCGGCCAGCGTAGGTGCGTATCGCGTAGAAGTTCTTCACGTGATCGCTTGTAACTTGGGCGCTCTCCCAGAGTCGCCTTTGCCAGGGATGATGCTTGATACGCGAGCCTTCTGACCACTTAAGATGTCTCGCGATCTTGAAATTTAACCATAAGGTTTACTGCGTCCTATCGCAGTTGAGGGGGGGGGTGAAAATTGACCTTCCGCCTGGCCAAACAATCCAAGGGCAAAGTTCACTTGAGACGTGGGTGACTTTTTATTCAACGGGAGGCCAAAGATCCTGCCCGGGAGAATTCGACGCGTGTCTTCGTTGCAAACTCAATTCTGTTTAATGTCAACCAACCAAACCTAAAGCTAATGACTATGCCTATCTGTTCGCCAGGTCGGCCGTCTATGTCATTCACCTCTTTCATCCTGTGGTCCACAGCAGATAATCCATCGTGGACCGCCCCATACCGGATCGTACAGTACCGGATTGCGGAGTACCGGATCGCGGAATTCCGGATCGCGGAGCACCGGTTCGCGGTATGCGATCCACGGCGGGTGCGTAATTTACTACGATCATCATGACACACTCCGCTTGACCTTTACCCCTTCTTGACCGTTGAGTGGGTTACTCTGCGTAATTTCCACAGTCATTTCCTGTCACTCAGCCGTGTGACACCATCATCCGTGCCAACGGGCCCATCTCCGTACGCGCTCCACCAATCAAACTGATTTTCGTACTTAGGGGCGGATCGCGCGATCCACAATTCCGTCATTCTTTCTTCGCGCTTCCTTTACAATCGATTCCTGCATCGACGGTCTATATTCAGTTTCGATAGACGGTTCACCCACAACGCCCATGGATCCTGCAATAACTGCAACTCCCACATTGGAGGCCGATAGCACGATTCCGCCTTCTACTCCGCCACCGGTATTACTCATCAGAAAGTTTTTTGTGTTGCCGTCGTCTCGAATGAGCGCTGCATTTTTGTTGAATTGTGATACTTTGACTGTAAGGATCGGACCTCTCTACGGTCAACTGAATCTTCATGCCGCAATTGTTGCCGACTACCACTTGTTGGAGGAGTTATGTCAACAACAGAAACTGCAGATCGACCGACTGCAAACGCAGTTGCAATCGTACGTCGAAATCGCCCTGCGCTTGGCAACCTATGTTTGACAGCGTTATCTTGACCTCTGGACGGATCGCAAGACATGATCGAGAGGTTGCACGGGTTCCAGACGGAGCTGGCGCGGCGCTTGGGTCAAAATTACGTGGTCCGAAACCTCAAGATGGCTCTTTCAGAATTCGAAAAGAAAAACGAACAAGTCGAGGATCTGCGCACTCGTAAATTGTCCGCCGCCCAAAATCAAGCGGAAGCGATGAATTCGCGCCTGGCTGCTGCGGAACAAAATTCGGGCGACAATATCCAAGCTGCAAAACCAAGGCATCCAAGAACAAGAAACTTTTCCACAAAGTTGCCAAGAAGTTTGACACGACCAGACTGTCGTTTTAAAAAAGGAGAAGACCCATCTAGACTGCCTTCGTGAACAAGAGCTCGTAGAGACGGAGCTGCAACGGCTGCGATCGGATATCGCGGACCGGGACACCCAGGTGGATCGTCTGCGTAATCAAGTATCGAACTGGGAACAGCAGTGTCTCGAGGCCGTTCGCGATCGCGACACGATCCGGACTCATCTGGCTCAATTAACTTCTGGATCACTCCACCATTTCTCAAATGCACCGTCCACGGCTTCCGCTACCGCACCAACCGGCAAGCGATCTAGTTCAACGGATCCCGGACCTCCTGATCAAGCGTCCTCGCACTGCGAAGCTGACGCAGGCCGGAACAGAATCAGAGGGTACCTCTAAGACCAAGTCAGCCAGTGAGTCTCCGCGATCTACTGGACCAGTGTGATCTGCCAAACCTTCCGGATCTGATGAAATACCACGCGTCTCTACGTAAACCTCCAGATTAACTCGCTCGGACGGGTCCACAGCTACGTCCGGATCAGCACGGGCTCCAACAACTCAAGGCACCGCGTGCAGAAAACGATCCACCTTTCGAATGGGCCTAGAAGCTTCCGGCCGGCGTTCCATCGCTCTCCGATACAGAGTCGTTAGAATCTTCTAAAGAAGATGTTCCAGCCGACTTGTCTGGATCACGCTTCTCATTGCGGCGCCGTGGATCGTCGATCAATATTTAAACTTCTGCCGGATCAGTGCCTGCCATAATTCCAGTGGACTCCCCCAGCTCCATGTCTGGATTGTCTTTTCTATCGAGTGAATCAGCATCATTTACCAAGCCCAGAGTCTTAAGGGTGGATATCGCTGGCGAAGCTTTAAGCTACTCCGACGAATCGGTCAGCATGACCGACAGTCCGCAGGGCGCCGATAATTCCGTGCTTCCGCCCGCGGAATACGACCGTTTAGCTTCGACCCTGGTACCTCGCGCTAAGTGGTTTCCCGGATACCGCAATCGGGTACCCTGGTCTCGCCCCCACTTACACCCGTGGTAGGATCGTCGTCTCATCCTGACCTCCGTGGCGGAGCTGGACTTGGATACCTTGTACAAGCACCTGACACGGCCGGCAGGGTATATCTTCCCAGCACCCACCGCGCCTCGATCTAAAGCTGCTCGGCATGAATCTGAGTGGATTCTACGGCTGGTTAATTCGGCTTAATTGTAACCGTTGCACCAGCAAGAGCCTTGGAACCAATACAATAGCCAATTCACACCGGTCTCGTATCACTCGACTGGCTGGTTCACAGATATGGCATCCGCGTACCGAGACTTCAAGACCCAGCATCGTCAGAATCGGTGGAAAGCAACCCACGCTAGTTATTTTCCGGCCGAGCAGCGCGATCGCGATCCGAAGTTGGCGCGGATTTGCCAGCAGCGCAAACAGCGGCAATCGCGATGCAGACCCCGATGGAAACCGTATTGCTCTTTATCCTTTCGGGGATCATTAACGGAGACTGCGATTAGGATCTGTTCTTGGATCCGTTCTTCATGCATCTCCTGTCACCGGTCGTAATGCGTCCATAGTACCCGGGTTTGGGCGAGTCTAAGAAAAACATTCCTAACCTGATCTCCGCGTTGGCGCGTATGGATACAAATGAACCCTGGCGCAACCGGTTTCGATCCTGCATCGAATATCATTCCGGGTCGTCGCTCGATCGCTCGTCGAGTGAGTATTTTTCGAAGTGGTCCATAGCAATCCGAAAGTCTGTTTTGTTCGGTCAACATATATCCATCTTTTTCTATCTTGGAATTCATCACTTGGATTCATCTCATTTGCCTTTTATAATTACTACCTACGATCGGGTTTGATCGCCACACACAACCTTTCCCTTTGTTTTCTTATGCAACCTTCTTGCAGGCCACTCCCGATTCGACACATCGGTTGTTCATCCACCGCTGCTTCGTGTGGTTGCATCACCTCGAAGCGATTCTTGCTGATTCGGTTGCGATCAAAATCTTGCAGCAAGGCCCCACAGTTTATGTCGACCTCATCTATACAAGTCGGTTTGACCGATCCCTTCCATTGCACCAAATACTGGTGCTGCACTCTGCCAAACGGGTCCGTCAGCCCGATCGCACATCCAACATCTTCTCGACTTTAGATTTATCTTCATCCAATAAGCGTTCCCACCCATCTTCCGGCAGCAGAAATTCGGCAAAATCTACGCGATCCGCCCCTTCAACGTTTAGCAAGTTTTTGGCCGATCCGGGAAAGTTTATACCCGCGTAATCTTGAATATATGTACTAACGGAAATAATCGATACGGTGTATCCGAGATCACCAACCGTACGGCGTGTGTCTCGCAAATTTTTTTTTATTCGGGAATGGTTCATGCCACAAATGTATCAGATTTTTAGCGTATCCTTCTTTCACTCAATCCGAATAGAGCCACACTTGCGATTTAACTTCGATCTCATGTGATCCTTCCTCAGCTTTGTGTCGATCGGCCCGATCTTGAATCGCAATCCGTAGACGATCGCAATGGCTTCTCTTGCTCTCTGGTTTTGACGTTGCATATGATAAAGCCATCTCCTTGGATCTTGGTCCCGTCTTTTGGTGCTTCCCAAAGGCACAGTCGCTTCCAGCGTCGATCGTGGGGACCATCCGTGAATCAAGTAGAATGCCGTATTTCCTCGTATGCGATTCTGTGCCGTACCGATGGCGAACGTCAACCTCTCAGCATACTCGTCTCAATCCTTCTGATTGGTATCTGTAACGTACATTTTGAAACGCCCTCGTTAAGTTCTGCACATTTCTTTCTGCTAATCTATTCGCCTGGAATCGGTATGCCATGGTAGCACGCTATTTCTGCCCCACGATTAGATTGAACGCTCGACAAAAGTCGGACATGAATACGGGCTCCCGATCATGGCGGATCGCTTCACTGGCTCCAAATCTTCGAAACACACACTCATCGTAACTTAAGGCGATAATTGAATCAGTTCTGGAGGAACTCGCTTTGGCAATTACGTACCCTGAGAACAGATCTACCCACAACAACGACTCATTGTTTCCTTTAAAAGATTACGGCAACGATAGAATGTGTTCCGTAGCGATTTTTTAAAATGGATAGGTGGCTTAAACATTCCCCGGCGAATCGCTGCGAAGGACAGATCTACCATTTTCGGTCGTGAAATCCAAACATCCTCCCACATAACGCTTATCACTCCGATAGAGTCCTCTCCAGTGGAACTTGTTCTTGATTCTTTGGTATGTTCTGCCGATACCTTGGTGTCCGCCGTCCAATCTTGTATGATAACGATGCAGAAAAGCTTGCTGCTGTAGTCCCGGAACCACCAAACAATTCAATTCCACGCGGCTATCTGGATCTTCCGTCGATTGCGGGCAGAAAAACAGTAGCCTGCTTTCGTCAACTGCATAATCTAGCGCGATACGAGCACATAACTTTGTTTCTTTAATACTCAACTTCGTTATGTCTCCGATCAGGAGTTCCTTCAGGTTGGCGATCCAACTCTCTTCTTTCTGCGCTTGCTTGGTCTTCTCGATTTTATCCTCTAAAAGACTTCCATTTGCATTACTTCAGGGGATCATTGTCTCCTTACGGCTGATTTAGTAACGGCAGATAATTTCACGACCTGATCGACACTTTCGGGTGTCAATAGCTCTACCAACCGGTTTAATAAATGTAAATTCTGACGATCTTGATCGGATACAGTCATCATATATTTCTCTTGTTGTAAAGCTTTGCTTGCCAGTCTATCGGCATTCTGATTCCAGTCCCTCTTAATGTGTATAATTCATGGATCTGCCACGATCGGAGTTTTTCCATAGCTTTGTGACATAGTAGCTGTAATCCGGGCGCCTTGCAATTAATTTCTCCACGCATCTGCTGGATCACTAAGTTAGAATTGCCGCAAATGATGATGCGCCCATGCGTCTGATCGGCCAGGAGATCGAAACCTAGTAGCAGGCCACGATATTCGGCTTCGTTTACTGTCAGGTCTGTTGCGTATTCGGCTGCGACATTCACGATCTTTTAATCCGGAAGTTTCCAACCTATTGCACTATACGACCCGCCTTTTCGTTTGGCTCAGGCCGATCCATTATAACAGATCACTAAAAGACTTTCACCCTCCTTTATCGTTGGTGGTGGCGTACTTATGCTGTTTTCGGCTGCTTACTCGGGGCGATCGCGATTAACATGTCGTCCACACATTCGTGCGGGGTAATGCTGGTGGCAAGGGTACCAAGTATTTCATCTTCTCCCTTTTCACATCTCTTGGTCTTCAGCGCCCAAAATGATAGCAACTCCACCCATCTCCCCAGCCTCCCATTATAACCTAGAGATCGTACCAGCCAGGCCAACGTCGAATGACGTGTGAGTACCTTGATCTCTCGTGAAACCAACATAGTGTAGCCGATATCAAGGATGCGCAGCATAGTAAAAACTTCTCTCTCCACCATTCCATAATTAATCTCGTTAGGTTTAAGCGTTCTGCTAGTAGACGTTACAGGCCAGTATACGCCATCGTGTTCCTGTAGCAAAGCTGCAGATACTGCCCTTTTGCTAACATAGACCACGATCACTGAAGGGCTATCCGGATCAAAACGTGTAAGAATTGGAGTCTTAGCGATCTTATTCTTCAGCACAATGTACAATTACCGCCTTCTCCCATCGACTTCTGTCTAAGCAGATAAAATCGCCCCAGCAACACCGGAAAACGCTGGATCGCCCCCTGAAACACTGTTACGGTTCGGATCGCCCCCAGCAACACCGGAAAACATTGGATCGCCCCCTGTAACACTGTTACTGTTAGGATCGTGATCACCAAGACAATTCCTGTCGTCAGCTCTCTTTCCATTTCGTGTTAACGATTCTGCTTCATCCATACGTTAGATCTCGTGGAAGTCGTATCGCGTAATTCGTATAGCACTGATGCATATTTCGCAAAGCCTTCAACGAATCGGCTATAGCAATTTAAACTACCTAAAACGACTGCATCGACCGCAGCGTTCGAGGAAACGGGATATTGACCAGCGATCCGATATTCTTCGGGTGGGCTTTTAATCCAGCGAGTAATACTTGATGACCGAGATAGTCCACCTTACGTCGTCCCCGAAAACGTAGTGTTAGGCTAATGACAATTCCACTTATCGCATACACGTAGCAACTTATCCACTCATTCGTATAAATCGGCCCACGATGTAGCT